GGGCCAGGGCATTGGGAAACTGCATTTGGCCCTGCACAAGGGCCAAGTCCAATGTGGAAAGTGAATCTGGCCCTGCAGAAGGGCCAGATGCAATATAGGAGTGTGCCTGGCCATCATGTTGTGAGGGCGCAAGTGCTGCATTTATTGCAATGTTCTCAGGCTTGCATGCGTTGCCACAAGTGGATCTGTGTAGCAAAGTAGATTGAGCACTGAAGACACTGAGCCATGGGGCCCCGCAAGAGACCCTCCATGAGCACATCAGGTGAAAGCAAGAGCAAGTCGGCCAAGGCTGAGGGTGTAAGCCTGCCTGATTCAGAAGGGCCCAACCCTGTACCAGTCGACCAGACTGAAGAGCCTGAAAAAGCAGGCAAGAGCCAGAATGAGGACCCAAGCCCGCTTGACCACGTGAAGTCTGAGTTGAGCAAGTCAGAGAGCTTGAACATGAAGCTGGAGTTGCTGAGGAGCAACACCGACTTGTCTGCAGACGATAAGTTGCAGCTTTTGAACGACCACTTGACCTTGGGTGACTGGAACAAGCTCAATGGCAGGTTTTCCTCAGCCAGGAAAAAAACAGTGAAATTGAGAAGTTGGCTGCAAGCCAAGGGCAGAAAGCTCACAGGCACTTGGTTGGCTGCCTTGCCCTTGACCCAACCATGACTGATGTCTGGCAAGAGTTAACCCACACTGTGAGGGGGAGCCAAAATCTCGAGAAGACTGATGAGTGGATCAGCTGGACCAAGATGTTGCAAGAATGGAGTGAGGAGGAGCTGACGATGCACATTCACAGTGGAAGAATCTCTGAAAGGGAGTGCCCAGACACACCTGGAGTTTGGGAATTCAAAGACAACAACAAGGTGAAGACAACCAAGGTGTTGGGCAGAGATAAGCAGCTCAGCAAATCTTCCAAGAGCCAGCTCAAGCCAGAGACCAAGGAGGACGATGATGATGACTGGGACAAGGCTTGGACTGCCTTTGGCTCAGCATCCAGCTTCAATGACATCCAGCTGTTTGGCACTGGTTCCAGCATTGCCAAGGGCAAGGGGAGCATGAAGGGTAAGACTTCCAAAGGCATTGGCAAGAAAGGAAAAGCAAACAAAGATGATGAGGAGCAGGTGACCAAGAAACAAATCCAGTGGCTGAAATCTGCTTTGTCCAAAGCCATCACTGTCGTGGGCTGCAAGGCATTTGAAACCACAGATGGTGACAAAAGAGGGCACGCAGCCAAAGCAAAGGGTGAGCTGGAAGAGATCCTCTCCAAAGTGTCCGACAAGGGCGATGTGTGGGAGCACAAGGAGTTCCAGGCCATTCAGCAGAATGCCAAAGAGAAGATTGCCTTGTGCAAAGAAATATTTGGCTGAGAGGCTAGGATAGCAGCTGGAGTAGAAATGCTGCGCACCAGAGACCGATCTGACTGAGAAAACAATGGCGTCTGTGCCAGCTGCATAGATTGCTGGCACGCATGTTGAGGATCTGGTTTGCCAGCAAATATTTGGCTCAAGCAAAGGGCAAGGTTAGCAGCATGCTGTCAGTTGAAGAACTTGCCTTGCTGGCAGATTATAAGATTTGCCTGTCCTGTTGGCTGTGCCAACTGGAGCCATACCTGCCAAGGAGTTCATGCAAGCAGCCTTGCTCATGCATGTGTTTTCATGAATGTGTTTTCTTTGCATGCAGGACTGAGTACTTGAAGCTGTGGCAGATTTGCAAAGACTGTCGGTGTGAATTCGATGAAGCTGAGCCTCCAGAATTGAGTTTAGCATCAGTTGGTGTAATTCGACTGCAGACCATTGCAAAGGAGCCGACAGATGACCCAGAGATGCAATAGCCAAGGCGCAGCAAAGGAGAAAGTGCAGGTTGTGAATCTGTTGCGCTGCAGAAGTGCATTCCAGCTTATAGCTAGTATAGGATCATGCTGCAGCCGATAAGCATCATGCCTGGGTACAAGCAAAGCCTGGGGTGCTTGCGCGACCCCAAAGCAGCCAACACAGATTCAGAATCAGTGTTGCAGACTCACTTGCTTTGGCTGTGGACTCTTGGTGACATCTCTGCCATTGCTTGCCAGAAAATAGCACACAGTGCTTTTCTGGATGGGCTGAAGCACCCTGCCGTGGCCAAGGTGGCCAGCTGTGGCTCCTGGGGACAACACCCCAACAATGTGTCCAGGGATTTGGAGAGGATGGTGGTTTCAGAAAGCAAGGCATCCTTTGCAGAGCCCACTATCATCAAGGATTGCCCTTGCTCCAACCCCAGGACAAGTGAGGAAGAGACCACTGACGTTGCTTTTTTTGACCCTTGCAACACTGTGGCAGCATTGCAGGAGAGCCCAGAGCATTTCCAGAGCATTTTCCAACCAGATGGCCTACATGAGTTTTGGAACAATGTTAGGCCTGATGACCCCAGGCTTACCATACTCATGCAGGAATCCAGCTTAAAGCATGAGGACCTACCAGCAACAGTCCCACTCTGGGTTCATGGAGATGGTGTGGAGTATGCCGATGGCAAAACTATGATGGTGTATTCCTGGGGCTCTGTCTTGAATTCAGGCCCATCATTGAGCTCATCTCTCTTGCTGCTGGCCTTTCCCAAAGATTGTGCAGTGAGTGCAACCTGGGAGACACTGTGGTCACATATTGTTCCTTCATTCTCTAAGCTGCAGGCAGGAAAGACTGACATTGTTCACAATTACAGGTTTACAATCTGGCAGGTCATGGGTGACCAAGAATTTTTTGCCAATGTCCTGAAGCTGCCACATTGGATGAACGCACAGCCCTGCTGGGAGTGTAAGATGACTGGCCCTCAGCAGCAGAGCAACCTGGACAAAGACATTGAAGGCTGGAGGCTACCTCAAGAAGAAATGAATTGCAGGATCTCAGCACACCCACTCTTTACCATTCATGGAGTATCCCATTTCAATATTGCACAGGATGCAATGCACATCCTGTTTTGCAAAGGTGTTCTTTCTCATTGTATGGGCAATGCGTTGAAGTTTTGGTGCTACACTTGCAAGGCTGTGCCAGGAAGAAGCATAAGGGACAAAGTCAAACATATTTGGCAAAAAATACAGTCGCTCTACAAGGACTTTGAAGTGGATTGCAGGCTGCCCACATTGAAGCTATCCATGTTCACCAGCCCCGACAAGCCTCATCAGACCCAGCCTTTCCTTAGGGCAAAAGCTGGGGAATGCAAAGCATTGGTGCATCTGTTTGCACAACTGGCAGTGGAGTTCCATGAAGGAGATGAAGTCTCCTCCAAGATCCTGGCTATCTTTGAAGACATGGCAGCTTTTGTAGATTTGATGGATGCAGCTCCCAGGTTTCCAAGTGAGCAAGAGGCCTGCCAGGCAGCCTTTCTGATGACTTCCTTTTTGGGGCATTACAAGTGGCTGCAGCTGCACAGGTCCAATGACTTCACCTGGCACACAGTGATCAAATTTCACATGGCCAAGCATTTGGCCCTTGCTTTCAGGTTTGGCAATCCCAGACACGCATGGTGCTTTAAGGCTGAAGACTATGTGGGCAGAATCAGCAAGCTTGCACACTCAGCATCGTTTGGCACAACAGCCACTTTGCTTTCTGTTAAGATCTTGAAAAAGTATCGGCTGATGATGTATGTCAGGTTCTGGAAGGGGCTGCTGTGACACAGAACGTTAACATATTTCGCCAGGCAAAAAAAGAAGTGGTGTGCTGCATGTGCCCTGCAGAAGGGCAAATGAGATCCTTAAGTTCTTGGACATGTCAAGTTTTTGTGCAAAAAAGATTGATATTTTGCAAAAAAAGATTGATATTTTTTTATATATTTTCTCAGGAAAAGATTGATCTTCCTTGATGTGATTGGGAACACAAAAAACAGCTATAAAATGCAAAGATTGATCTCCAAAAAGATTGATATTTTTTTATAGAAAAAGATTGATTTTTTTTGATCCTGGATCCTCTGGGTTCCACAGTTCCGGTGCCACTCCCGGATGCTCGACGCCCTCACCCGCCGTAGCTATCGGTCGCAGCTCAAAAGCTACGGCTGATAACCAGACGAAATACGAATCAAGACAAGTCAAGTAAAGAGTATGCCCAAAAGTGCTATGGCGGCACCGGAAGCTTCACTCGCACAACCTGTTTTGCCTTGAGCCAAAATGTACAAGTCATCCAAGGCGAACTGAATGTTTCTTTTCAGTGTCAACCCTGGAAACCTGATTCAAAGGAAAGTTCAAGCAAACATGAATTCCGGGGCAAGGTTGAATTAGACATGCATGCACCACCTACCATCAGGAAAATGTGGATTCCAGCAGGGGGCATTCTTCTGGGAGCCAGGTCAACCCTTGTTAAGGTTGGCTGGTTCCATTTGGGTGAAAGTTGAATCAACGTAGATGGCACAAATCCCAACCATTTTGGTCACTCGTCGTCCTGTTTACCCATGCTAAGGGAGTTGTGCCGTTTACGTTCACCGTGGTATAGTGAGTAGCAAGCTGACATACCCAACAAAATAATGGGTGCCCTTAGAACATTGCATATGTTTCAGGGAAGTCATCAATTTGGGTTCCGAAAACTAACCAAACATTACTCACTATACGCCATCGCCATGTGCCATTTTTGTTGACGGAACTGTTTTGATAACCATCCGAGCGGGTTCTGCAACTGAACATTGCGCGACAAAAAAATGCAAGAAATCACGCGCGCAACCCAAGCACTTTCATGGGGAGGCGGGAGGCGGTCAAGCATGTGCTAAAACAAAGCACTGCAGGCGGATTGCGCTACAATGGAACCAACCTAGGAGCCGGCTTCTCCTGGCAACTTGCTGATTGGTGTTTTTTTTTTTTTTCAAATTTAGGTGTGCCTGCCTGCAAATGCCAAACAGTCGCTAGTGTTGATGCTATAGACATGGTGAATATCTTTGCTTTTGAATATTCAAGCATGTGACCAACACAAGCATGCCTCTTCTAAAACGAGAACCATTCAAAGCGAAACCAAGAAGTTGAACATCCTTACCGCTGGCGACTCGCGAATCACCGCTCCTGCGGGGGGTCTGCCCGGGCGGGCGGCACGATGACCTCGTCAGCGAAGAGCTCGTGGGTGACGACGTCGGGGATGGTCCGCGCCAACTCCACACCTGCAGTCAGCTGACAATTTTGGCTTTGTTTCGCCTCAGCTTGTTGGTTCTCAGCAGGAAATGACGGAAAGACCCCAAGAAACCATCCAACTGCTGATTACCAACACCCAGAAAGTCATTCCCTTATGAGCACTAGCAAGTAAGGGAAGCCAAAATGGAATTGAGACAATGGTGCAAACAAGGGGGAAGCCAAAATGTGAAAAATCTAGCCCCGGTCTTCTTAAAGTGAAAGGGGAACCAAAAGGAGCGTGTTGAACAGTGGCTTACACATGACATGTTGACCCAAGTGTAAGTGGGCAAATCTCAGTACGGCCTTATCTTCTAGGTGAGTCTCAAATGGGCCATCGGGGCTAAAGGGCGCTATGGGCCAACTAAGGCTTCGCTTCCTTGGACTCACGCGGGCTGACAAGACGCGGGAGTCAGAGTCTCAAAGGGCCCCTGACTCTGACACGTTGTGTTTGGCAAGCCCTGGATAAACAGTTACCACGTTTTGGCGGCTCGGCCATATCTGATTTCTTTTGGGTTCAGCCAGCTTGGTTTTGACCATATATTGAGGATGTAATTAAACAAGCGTCGGACCCCTCTGCTTGATTGGTAAGGGAACCAACGCCTCCCTAGATCTAGCAGACAAGGATGCATCAACACATTGTTCTTTGGAGGTTGGAACGAACCACTTCGCCTTTTTGTTCGTCACACGTGTCACCGGATTTCCATTCAGGGTTGGAGCAGTGACATAGCGAGGTGCAAACAAGTTGGAAATGGAGGGATCCGTGAAAAAGGCCGAATAGGCATCAAGTGGAACCTGAGGCGGTCCAAATCCGGGCCTTGAAGATGTTTAAAGGGGTCACAAACAGGAAACCAACCTCAGATTCCATGTGCTTTGTTTGATGCCTCGCAATAGCACAATTTCCAGTCAAAACCATGTCAATGGTGTCAACTCCAAGAGGGCCAAGAGGGAACAAGAACTGCAAACACAATATGGCGAATGGTCAAAACCCAAATCGTACCTCCAGTGAACATCCCAATCCAACCACTAAAATAGGTTCTAAAATGGCTGGTGCACCTACCCCAAAATGGTTTTTCATTGGTGTTGACCCACGGCCATATAGCTTCGTGGTTCGTTGAGTCTTGAACAGTGACGCTTTTGCTGAACTAGCCAATTGCTCGCACCCCCAGCTACTGAAATTCCTCAGCAAAGCCTTGTAGCCAGGGCTACAAAACACATTTGGCTAACCTCGACGTGGGGCGTTCGCTGTTCTTGCCCAAACAAGGGGGGTGCGTCACCCGACTCTTCAGCGGGCACTTTCGGAGCTTCTGTTTCGCCGCAGAAAGACATGGCCTGCGAACAAAGGGGTTGGGAGGGAAGCTGACTTCGGCCCAAGGCAAAGTGACGCTTCCAGGGACCGGGGCGAGAGGAAGTTGACAGCAAAAAGCCCTTCCATGGGCACTATGGCACCTTTGTTGGTAGAGTTGCTTCACATCAGGTTCTTTCTAGTTGGTGGTTTGGATTGGGGGCTTGGAGGCAGCGGTTTCCCAGTTACCTTCTACAAGCACCAGCAGTTCAAATCCCCAGTTCCCACCAATCCCAACCACCGATTGGGGGTTACCTGATCAAAGAAGGGGTTCCTCCGGAGCCTCACCCTGTGAGCCACGGTCAAAATATGGGCTTTCCCCACCATGTCCCCAACCAAATGGACGGACCATGGACTCACAAGCCCAATGGACATTTCAAATTCCCCGCAAAAACGGGGGAGGACCTCCGGTTTGGCTGATTGAACCCCTTCCCCCAGTGGAACAAAGGGGGCAGATTTTTCTGGGCGACTGCGAACAAGTACTATACGAGCATAAGAAATATGCATCCAAAACCAAAAGCAGAAGTTGATCCCCAAGGACCCATGGCTTCTCGTTTTACCCGGGCTCGCAAATCGCAGGTGGCTCCCCTCACGCCGTGGCACGGACTTGGTACGTGGAGTCTGGGTCCAAACCTGACGAGACAGGTGTCGGCAGCGGAGAGGTGTTTTTTTTGGGGAACCACCGCCCTCCCCCCGAACAAAAAAAGGAAACCACAGGGGCAAAGGGGAGCCTGGGGTTCAAACCATGAGAGCAATGGGGTTCATATCACCACCATGGTTTGGCTAAGGAGTGTTGTCATCCAAATTGGGCCAACCATTCCTTTCATGGGGGTATGGTTGAACCCTAGGAAGCCTTGAGGCCAAAGGCCACAAGACACCGAGAGTTGGGGGGTCTTGGGGCAACCATTCGGCACTTGGAATCCTTCGGCCAAAGGAGCCCTGATGCCCTGATATGCAGTTTTAGGGGACCCACAAAGTGAATTCGGTTCTTTTGGTTCTCCTTTGAAAGCCCCCAAAAAAGAGTTCCCGGGGAAAAGACACAGTGCCAGATTGCATCTGCAAACCGGCTGTTTGATTGACAAACGTGTTTTAACCAGCACGATGTAAAACATCCTCCTGAAATGGCTAGAGTGAAACACTACAAAAGCCAGGTTCGAAATACATATGCGTGTTCATACAACCACTATTGTGCACCTAAGCATTGTCACCATCCAATTTGGGTCAACCATTCTTTTCATGGGGCTTGAACCCTAGGCTTCTTGGAAAACCCCAGCTCGCACGGCAGGGACGCCAGAGCGTTCAAGCGCGTGGCTCTCGGCCTGCCGGATGGCATATTTCTCTTTTCCAAAGAACAGAACTAGAGATCACAACTAGGTCCTCCAGTAGAGAGGTTAGAATAAGGGTACCAACTTTTTTCTGTAGTCTATTTTAGTAGGGAAACCCTCCCCCAAAAAAGGGAAAGGGCACTACTGGGGGACCTAGACACGGAACGGCGAAATATGTTGGGTAGCACGTCGGACCGGGTAAACGGGATTCCAAAAGACGCCCGGTGACCAATGATTTACGATTGGGTGTGTGTCTTGTTTTGGGGGACCCCCCCAATATGGAATCGGTTTTCCTTTCTGGTTTCCCTGTAAAACGCACAGAAAGGGTACCATAAAAAAAACGCGCCCAATTCTGTGTTTGCTCATCTTTTGCAAACGACTTGGAGGAACCGACTTTGTAGGGACAGGGTAGAGCGGCCGAAAATCTTTTTTGCACAGGGGGGTCTTGTCCAGATCCTTGCGTGACACGCTTCAGCTCCTTCTTCGAGCGGAACACTTCGAAAGGCCAGCCATGCAAACATATGCCAAATCAGGCAAGTGTAAAAGAAAAGGCCCTTGTAGTTCCAACTCAAAAACAAAGGAAACCCACTTGAGTCACAGTCAAAACGTAGAAATGGCCGACCCAACACCTTGTAAAGAATAAAGAGGGCCAACTCTGAACTCAGTTTATGGTTCGGATTGTCCCTGACTACCCTTCAAGTAACGGGCTTTGATTGTGGTTCAGGTGCTGTTTTTTTTCTCCCATGACTCCCAGATGAACCAAAGACCACTTCATTTGTTAAACCAAACCTCATGTGTGTGTCCTGGTCCAAAAGCCGTATAATCGTCATGATTCCCTTAACCCTTCAAATGGTTGTCTAAATTCCCTAGCAAGCGTGCCATGCCCATCCCCGGCAAATAACCCCAAGAAGAAGTGTCTTTGACCACGGCACATCTAGGTCATTGTAGGTGCTCTTCCTGCCGAGCGGCAGTAGATGTCGCAGGTGGTCTTGATGATGTCCGAGCAGTGGGGAACCAAGAACTCGCTTCCTCATCCCCGAAGCTTGAAGATTCGAATAGGCCATGTGGGTGTGTTTCAAAATAGGGACCCCCCCCCAAAAAAAAAAGGAAAAAGAGAAAGAAGTGGTGCTTTCTGGCTACCTATTAAAACCAACCAATCGTGGGCAACCTCAAACAAAGGACGAGCCCATTTAGCCATCGCCATCGCATCGAGACTCCGCCCGGCAGCTTTTGCAGGTGCACGCGCCACTCCCAGCCGTTCCCGTCGTTGTGCAGCGTGGGGAATTCGCCGCCTGACTTGAAGAACCCGTGGGTTGGCTGGGGAGTTGGCGGGGGTGGACGCTGGGAAGCCCTGGTTTTGGTTGATTAGGTTTAAAAATGGCACCCCATGTCTGCTGCTGGCTAAATCTATTCCGAAAAGGGGGAGAAGAGCACGCGCCCCATGCTTGTGTTGGTTGATATTTTGAACTCCCTTCCCCCCAAAGAAAAAAGGGTGCCTCCGGAGAGGATGTCTAAGCCTGACTTGTGATCGAGTGGAGTAGCCGTTAAATTTAAGCACCTCAGGGAGTGAGAAGAGTGGACGTCGAGGGCAAACACAACAGGGGTGGACATTTAAATGGGAGACCCTTTCATGGACATCATTTAGGTGTTTTTTCATGTTCACCACCCACTTTTAGGTGGGTTCCTATAAACCATCATGGCCAGATGGCTTCTCAGACCAAGTGACAACAAATGACAAGGCTACAGAAACGAACATCAACTGAGGACTGGAAAAGCGGTTTTTCAGTTTTGCTCCAAACACTCTGGAAGGGCAAACGACTTGTCTCTGATAGAGGGACATCAAAGGAAGCCATTGACACTGTTCCACCCAGGTTTGGTCAACGGAAACGGCCCAAAGAATCATCCCTTCCACAGTGCGTGGAGTTTGGGAGCAGATTCAAAGGTACAGGGTTACGTGGCATGAGGGACCCATCACCAAGCATTGCAAGCTACCCGAGGCATTCTCTGCGAACCCGCTGCCTTAACGCATGATTCGACTGGGGGGCTTTTCCAGTCAGGGTCGCCGGTATGCCATGGTTTATGAATGGAGGGACAGTCAGGCAACAAATAGGTCAACTTATTTTGGAGGAGTGGAGCAAGATGTTAGATGGGAGGAAACCAACCCCGCTCCATTTCGGTCTTCGGGACCCTCCAAATGATTGGCTTCGCTTTGGCTTCCTTGTCAAGGCATTAAGTTCAGCGGAAATTTCGAGGCTGGTAACCTCGGGGATGCAATACGCCGGGAAAGCTACACCCACTTGGAAACGAGGTAGTTCCTTCATTTGGGGTGATTTCTAGATAGGATGCAATGCGCAAAAGCCACGGGATTGGGAGCTGTGGCCTCAAGAGGGATGCACATATCATATCCCCACTGTGGGCACCTTTTTGGGGTCTTTCAAGCCGCCCCTTCCCAACCCCAACTGACGCACAGACCGTCGCTTCTTGACTTCTAAGAGGAAAACAGGCTCTATTGAACGGCTTCCCAGCCAGCAAAGAACACTCATGCAGCATGTTGAACACCTTTGCTAGAACCCATTTGCGGGGGAAATTATTCTCCCTTTTGGGTGTGCTTCCAAAGCACAACCAAGCGGAACGTGCCGCCAAGCGGAACTTTTTTGGGTCGCCGATGTACAGCCCAACTGGGCCCGCGGGCCGTCCCAGGTGACCTGGACATGGCCCCCCGTGGGGTTCCATGGCCCACCTCGAGCCGGGAAGACGGGAAGGCCGGGGGCGGCTTTCCTGAAATCTGTGAAAGCTTCATCCTGGCCATGGTTAGATCATCCGGGTCCGTACTTGGCGACATTACGTAACGCCCTATTCAGAGTCGTTTTCACTCTGGCTCCGGTATGTTTTAGCCTAATAGGGCAAAGGGACCCCTCAAAATGGTCTCACTTTCCCCAGCGGATTGGCACAAGGTCTGAACTTTCTATTTGCCGCCAAAATCGTCCTCCTGCAAAGTTTGAAGTCCAGGAACTCAGGGAGTGAGTGATGGGGGGTTCGCTGTGGTTGCCGGTACTTTCAAACAAAAACACACGCTCATGTTTTGACTGGCATCCACCCAAGCAAATGTTCATTCAAGTTTGCAGGTATACACTATATAGACATGTTGCCCCCAGAAGAAAAGGACAATGGGCCGGTAGGGTCAAAATTTCCATCATCAACCGCTTGGTGTGTGGGTCGAAAAGACAAACTGGGGTCGGAAAAACAGGGGCCCCCAAAAACATTTTGACCCGCGGCTTGTAAATGCAAAGTTGATAAGATTCCTTCAGTTTCCCATCGTATGTAAACCAATCAGCTGGTTAACATCTGTTTGGCCCCGATGTTCATTCCGGCTGAAACAAGTTTCAGGTTTGGCTTAGCAGCCATCTAGCTGAACCCGCTGTGCGAAGTGTGTAAACTATAGCTAGTTCCTGGGGAATCAGAACAAGTCAGAGATAACATGTCCAACCAACTAGCAGCCATGTCAAGAACTACACGAACTCTTCGCCGGGAGCCGCGAATTTGGCGTGCACAGGTCACCTTATGCACATGGGTGGTTTGTTGCGTGTGATGCCTCACACAAGTTTTGTGATAGAGCCAAGCAGCACGTCAGAAGCGGGAAGAAGGTCGACGTGCTGGTGGTCGTGACGATGGTTTCCGTTGTTGATGTCCTCATGGCTGGATGCGCTTGGAGACTGGGCTATGGCACGGATGTGTGGATGTCCATGGCACACGGCGAACGGATTGCTTGGCAGTTGGTCAAAGGAAGCCCCCACCAAAAAAGGGGAACCACGCGCATCAGTGGTCTGGGATGGGTAAACTGCGGGCCACTCAAAAGATCTCACATGTCTACTCCAGGTTGGTCGAGTTGGTCGAGTTAAGCAGCCGTGGAAAAAGTCTGGAAAGGCCATAGGGCCGGGTGAGGGTAGCCTTCCCCACCTGAGTTATAAGTTATAACAATCAAAACCTGGTATTCACATGGTCTAATTACTCAAATCCATGTAAAGACTTGAAAAGGGGGATATTCGCACCTGTTTCTGGCTGGGGCTGGCCCTTACTATCCTTCATCTGCTGATGGCCTGTGGATTCTACTGCCGGTACTGCGGCAAGGCAGCGAAAAGCGCTGGATTCAGAAACGCCACCACTACATTTGCGCAAAGGCTGCCAACTGTACTGAGGAGAACTGCTCCTGCTTGCATGGCATCACTTGGCTTCGGCCAGGACGGTTCGCGCCAACTTGTTTTTTCTACCAGGTGTCGATTGTGGCTTATTTGGGGGCCAACAGCAAATTTCAGCTGATCCCATCTCGGCAGGAACATCCCCCTCTCGGATATATCGGAATCAACTTTGGTCAGTCTGCATCAAAAGACCTGAAAGAAGTGATGCTCTGGGTGAATGAATCTGCCATCCCACTCCCACTCGGGAACATGGTGCCAAGTCGTGCTTGACAGGTGGCCCTCTTTCAATTCTAATGGAGGGTTGCCCAATCCTAATACAACACCCGCTGGGCACCCCAAGCAGGTCTGCCTTGCAGCCCAATAGACATCATCTCCCAACCTTTCCTATGGTTCAGGGCGCAAACGGGACCGCTCCCAGAAGGGTCCCAAAAATGGGGGCCTCTTGTAATCCACCTGTTTCTAGATTCTTTACCTATGGGCTACACGGGTTGGGCTCCTTCCATTGGGGCCCTCGATTCGCCAAGCATCATGGTGGCGGTGGTGAAGGTATTGGTGACCGTCGTCTGCGTAGTGACCTGCTTCGGCATTTGGGCAAAAACAAAAAAGAGGAGCCCAAGCCAAGCCAACCCCCCACCCCAAAACCCAAGCTTATCCCAAAGCCCCAAACGCTTCAGGCCTTGCGTGGTCTTTAGCCCCAAGCGGCGGAGAACACAGGGACTTCCGAGAATGGAAGTCCAGGCGCCAGCAAAACTTTCAATGTGGGTTGGGGGCTCCCTTTGCCCGAACTCCTTGTTTCCAGCCTTCCCAGAATGAAGAAGGCTTCCCCCTGCCAGTTTCGGGTAGGATCTGTCATGTAATAACCCTTAGGTGCACTGGCATTTGTTCAAGGAAACGCCATAGCTATATACGGGGTTTGTAGATTTACTTTAGGCACTGAAGTTGCTTTGAATTTCCATCGTTTACCACCATTCTACCTGCATGCATTCATGTTTGCAGCTGACACAAACGGACAGGGGAGTTCCCAAAACCGATATCCACCCCACCCGAAACAGCTGAGGCTGGCACAGTGCTGGTGGTCACAGACGTCCTGACAGGGAAGTGGTGCAAGGCACATTTAGGCCGTTCCACCAAAGGGTTTTTAGCATGGATTACTAAGCAGTTACCTGCCAAGGACAGGGCAGGTTGGGAGATATTGAGGGACCCTTGCTCAAGCTGAATCCCAGCATATTCCAAGTTATCTATTTCAGCTCGTCCACATCTAGTGAAGCGTGACATATGCCGTAAAGTGGGTGTGTGCGTTGAAGGGACGCCACAGGGAACTATGTTGAGGGTTTCTCTTTGGGACCCATGTGGTCAGAGGGGAGGAGGGACAAATTAGACACGACACGTCCCCTGTTCTGTTCCTTTCGGGACATGCAGACATATTCATGGTTGCTATTTGACATCCAGTTCTCCCCTTGTTCAAGGTTGGTTAGGTATGTGTCAAATAGGGTAACCCCCAGGTCTCAAAATGGTGACCCCCAAAACAATGGTTATCCTTTTAGCTTCCCCGTGTTCCCTCAAAAATACACACACACACACAGACACACAGACACACAGACACACAGACACACAGACACACAGACACACAGACACACAGACACACAGACACACAGACACACAGACACACAGACACACAGACACACAGACACACAGACACACAGACACACAGACACAGACACACAGACACACAGACACACAGACACACAGACACACAGACACACAGACACACAGACACACAGACACACAGACACACAGACACACAGACACACAGACACACAGACACACAGACACACAGACACACAGACACACAGACACACACACACACACACATATTCACAGAAACACACAAACACAAACACAAACACAAACACAAACACACACACACACACACACAAACAAACAAACAAACAAACAAACAAACAAACAAACAAACACAAACACACACGCAAACACACACACACAGACACAAATAATGACACACACACACACACACTCTCCCACCCGTTTGACCCACGGTCGCGGTGGAGGTGGTCAAGGTGGAGCTGGTGACACTGGTGGTCGTCACACTGGTGCTCGTCATGCTGGTGGTGCTGCTCAAGGAACTGGTGGTGCTGGTTTTTGAGGTTGATGTGACCTTGGGCCAGGGGTCAGATTCCTTCCTGGTCTGGGGTTGGTGGGTGTGGCTTTTGTTAGGAATCGAACCTCCCAAAATGGTAGTTTCCCCCCACGCTTCGTTCTCAACACAGGCCCAAAAAGGGGCTACAAGCAAAACAAACGCCACACACTGGTGCGCCCTACTGGCCATAGGTTGGTGGACTGTGGCTGAAGGTGCCCCCCCGCACCTGAGGACTATGAAGCTTCGAGCTTTGCTGGACCCAGTCACCAAGTCAAAAACAAGGCAACCCCAAACAACCAGATTGCAAGGCTGGCTTTGAAGGGGGTCGACCCTCTTGGCTCTTCGTATCCAAAACCCTACACAGCGCTGTAACTGTCCAATCTTTTGAACAACCGTAGTAGACTGCCCTGGGTTCCAAACAAATGGGGAAACCACACAAGGTTTGAATTTGGGAGGTCTCAGACTTAGGGAACACCCCACATGGCCCCATTTGACCAACTAGCTTTCTGGAATTGTAGCATTCTGTGAAACTCAAAGTATCGCTCTGTCACGCCTCATGGAGCAACACTGATGTAGAGAAGTTCTAAACTTCTAGAACCCCTCTTCCCCAGAATAAGCAAGTTGCATCATGTTGTCGAGACTTACCCTTATAATTTCTGAGCATTTCCTGACCTCAGGGACCCTGCGTTCCCCCACCCCCAACCTGTTGAGCCAAAAGGCAGAACAAAGGTCGAAAAGCAGGTTCGGGTCCCCTTTGTGTGGACGATCCGTCCAGAAAGAGCCGCTAAACACTCGATCGTTGGTCCTCTAAACTGATAAAGAACGCTTCTTGGGACCCTTCTCAGCCCTTCTCACCCTCTCACTGCAAGGGGCAGTGATTGTGGTAGACGTAGTCGCCGTGGTGGAGCTTGTTTGGGAAGTGGTAGACGACATTGACCTTATCAAGAAACAATGTCCAGCACTGTGGGAATCAATTAATCATCTGCCTCTTGACAGAACACGGCACAAAAAAAAGACGGCACGCGCGGCGCCAAAGATAGGGTTCCGCCAAAGACCCGATGGGCCCTGAGTGGAACTCACAATCAAAGGTGTCATCTGCTTACGTAAAAGCCCTTGACGGGTCGATGAAAACCCCGAGCTGCTCGCTCGCCAAGCTGCAGACCTCGGAATCTCCAACTTGTTCTACGCTTGTGCTAAAAGGCTCGGCGCAACAGTCGTGCGGCAAAATTAAACCAGGGGACCGCAGGTTTGAGTCATTGTTTCCCTTTACAGGGGTTCCATTTCGGGCACCTATTTTTGACCCATCCACGCGATGTGTTCACTGCCTTCAGGGTGTCCGGGTCGATCCCCCTGCCCACCTGCGAGATGCCTTTTAGCTGTATATGGTTTTACCACCCCATTGCATCGAAGGGGGCGACTTTAAACCAAAGGAAATGACCTGAAGTTTTATTGGCTGCAAGCTTCCTGGTTCTGGGGCCCTCGCTTTCAAGGACGGGTGACCCCACGTTCAAACCGCAAACCGCCGTTTCCTATTCTGTTAGAAAAGCTCCAGCTGGGCCAGCCCCAAGTAAAAGGGTGTCAACTACTCGCTTCCTGAGTGGATGAGCCAGAATTTACCAGTAGCACAATCTTCCCAACAAGTAAACATGTGCAGAAATTAGAGAAGTGACACTAACTATGGCACACATAGACCAGCTCAGTGCAGGACCCCCCCCCAGAAATATGGAACCCTTCGGTCGAAACAGGTTCTGTTCAAAGTGTTCTATTTTTTCCTCCAGGGTAGGGATACTGCCCTATGAAGATGTTTCCCTTCACTAAGTTGTTGGGACGGTTTGTGGGAACCGTGACGAAAACAAGCCATCCTTTGAAGACACCGCGCACCAGAAACCCCCCTTTAGGACGGAAGCTCCTGTTTTTTTGCCCCGCCCGAAAAGCTACGTACGCTTTCCCAAGACCTCGAGGCTCTATTGTTCGTAAATTTTGAAGGGGACCCCCCCCTTGTAGATGTTGAACCTCCATTTGCTTAAGCCCCCTGGAAACAAAACACATTTCCAAATAGGGATAGATTCCTTTCTGCGGTTTTGGGCGAACACGAAGTAGCCCAGGGAATCAAAGAGGTACACGTGGTTCACGAAGTACCAAAAGAACCCAGTCCCAAAGCACAATGTAGAGGGTGCCGGTGACCAGATTGTGGGAGTGACAGTTAATGAAGATCAAGTTTGGGGAGGTTAGGAAACTGGTAGAAGAGGGTAAAGACAAGGGTCGGGCCCGGGAGCACCTCGGCGACCTGCCGCCCACCTCCTAGTGCCGAACAGCTGGAACACCACGGACCTTTTCCGCGATGGCGCAGCCAATCGCCGCACTATGGCGAACGCACGCAAATCCAAGGAAGTCCCGACGGGGGATCCAAATCTTGAGCCAAACGGCCATTCGGCCGTTTTGCCACATGATGAAACAACACGTGAACAAAACACACCCCCCTCATCCGATATCTGGACGAGAGAAAGGATGCGAGACAGTTGAGTTCACGACGAAAGGGACCAACCAAAAATGCCGGTGTCAACTCAGAGGTGAGCCAAACGGCATCACCTGGGCCCCAGTTAAAATCCCGCCACCACCCCGAATTATCGGGGCGACAGGATTATTTGACGAGTGGACCACATGAGTGAACAAAGACATATTGGAGGAACCAGACGAAGATTCCTCTCGTGCCGTTCATGAGTTGTCATGGGACGATGCCATGCGGAGGGGGATCCTATCTGGATCACCGCGCCTCACTGCACGCCGTGGAACGGTTGGAAGAGGAGTCGAGTTGGGAGGAAAGTAGAAACGGAAGCTCCGAAATTGGTGTGAAAATATCCGGCTATGGCCGGTCCGGCACTTCTAGTGCGGTCACAGCCTCACACAGGATCGCCAGGGGAACCATCTCCGGCGCGCACGGCAGCGGTGCGGGAGGGACACGAGCAACGCCGGATCAGCGGTACAGGGCAATGGAGATCATCACCCCCAGCAGCGCTGCACGGGCGAGAGGAGGACCGGCGCGGTCGCGTTTGTCGGCGACACACGTACTGTCCTCGCCCTTCTAAGGCGGATGCTGATTGCGGCACCCGTCTACCGGCGGATGCTGATTGCGGCACCCGTCTACCACCCTGAACCAGGCTCTTCCCGGTCCCTGGGCGCGTCGTCTCTTCGGCGTCCACCACGGTCACCTCGATCACCTCCTCCATCCCGACGGCGATCCTCACCACCACCCCTATTGTGGTCGCCAGCCGGAGGTCGGCGAGGCGGAGGGGGATCTGATTGGTGACGTCGGTCATCCCTGCGCCGGTCCCGGTGGCGATCGCGACGGTCATCGCCCGGGTCATCACGTCCGCGGCGCTCATCTCGCCCCGGGCCGCGCCTCTCGGAGGTCTCCTCATGACGTGGAGGAGGTCGGCGATCATCGCGTCGGCCTCCGCGGGTGTCCCTGCCACGATCATCCCTTTGTCGGGGCGGGCCGGGATCCTCACGTCCTCCTTTGCCAGGTCGATGTTTTCCTCGACCCTTCCCCTCACCCTTAGGACCACGACGATCCTCGCGGGCCCCAAGCGCGGTCCTTGACCGATCGTCATCTCGTCGGGGCCGCGACTCATCTGCCGCACGAGTGGTCCGAGGCACACCCGGGGGAAGCTCCCACTCGTCGTTGTCGTCATCACGCGGGTCATAGCCGCGATGGCCGCCCAAGGAACCGGTGGCATCCCGTGGTGGGGACGCAGGAGTTCCGGGACCGCCCGATCGAAGACGAACTCGGGGAGTCGCGTCCTCGCCGGTAAAAGGATCCTTCTGGGTGTAGAAACCCTTAGTCCTGCCCCTTCTCTCCCCACCTTCCACACCGCTTCTCGCGGGGACCGGGGATGGGCGGGCAGGCTGGGCCATGCTCTTAGAGCTGGGTTGCCCGCTAGGCGGGACCTGAACGCCCCCCTGCCCTTTTTCGGGCGCGGGGACCCGACCGCGAGATGTCCTTCTGGCCTTGGGTTGGTCGGACTCACCCTCCAGCTCGGACTCGGTGTCAGGGACACGAGTATTGATGGCCATGTCCTCTTCCTCAAACGGATCCCCAGTCGTAGTAACGCCTGCCGCAATGGGAGCGGGAGGAGGAGGAGGAGGAGTTGGCACAGCATCGCCAGAATGACGCCTGCATGCGGCACCACGGGAGTCTCCGGTTCTACCGGGACAGGCGGCGCAGGAGGAGCCGGGGGCGGTGGCGGAGGGGGAGGGATCTCCTCCTCGTCGTCGCCCATGGGCTCGTCAAGGTCGTCAGGCTTCTCGTCATCTTCGTGCGAAGAACCATCCGATCCCAGCTCATCCTCCGCTGATCCAGCAAAGTCGGGCTCGTCTTCGTCCTTCACGCCGGGGCCTGGTGTAAGGCGAATTCCGGGTCGATGGCGATCGCGGGGTCGGAAGCGGTATTTCCTTGGTACAGGGTCGGATAGCTCCTGTTTGATGTCATCCTGGGTTTGAGGACGGTCGGCCAAGCAGGTGTCGTAGGCAACGGTGGACGTCCGGTAGATCAGATCGTCCATACTGCTGAGGTCGTTGAGGGTGTAGACATACCCCTTCTTAATGCCTTCCCGTATCGTGTCCATAGCCCGCTTGAGGCGCGCGGCAGGATCGAAACCGGCCCTTCTCCGCATGGCCTGCAATATCCCGCAGTGCTGTGCGAGCAGCTTCACCTGGAACTTGAATCCCTCCCCGGACACATCGTTGGGGAGTATCGGAGAAAGGTGTCCTGTTCTCAGCCCAATGATATGGGCCTCAAGAATGTAGTAGGACGTGTAGAAACCGCACCGGTTGGCGTTGAAGTTTGCGGTGGTTAGGCGTCTGCCCCACTCAGCCGCATATCCCTCATATTCTTCGAAGAATTCGGGGACGGAGCTCCCGTTGAAGGCCAGACCCCTTACCAGGATCGCCTTTGCTACCCACTCTTCCACGTTGTTGTCGACCGTGTCACGGTATTTGCCGTCAAGGACTTCGTCTCGGAGCGAGTCGTGAAGTTTTCGGAAAATGCCATCCACGTCCTCTTTGTCAAGGTACTTAGGAGGCCGCATCCCAGACATCAACAAGGACCGGGCATCGACGGCGGGACTCTGCGAGTAGAGGGCCATTCCGATGGCGTTGGCGTCTGAGTTGTTCCACAGAGCGGGGACGAAGCCCTCGTATTTTGCCAGCCAGGGAGGAATCAACCCGTCAGTGCTCGCTATCGTGCGAGGGCCGCCGTTCGTGTCTCCGGTGGGCAGGACGCCATCGTAGAAGATGGGAAGGTAGCAGGCGGTGCACAGGTGAGCGCCGACCGGATGGGCCGTCATGCACCTATGGCATGGAACGGACACCACCTCGCGGACATGTTCCGTCTTGGTGATCTGATGGTACTTCTCCATCTCGTCCCGACACTTCCTCGGGTTATCACTCAAGGAGTTGAGGAAGTTGGGCGGATAGCACCAAGGCCTCAGGTAAATGATGGAGCAGTCCTCCTTGAAGTAGACGCATCTCCAGTACCCGATCGCGATGTTCTCGCGCGACGCAAAGGTACCCTGACGAGTAATATGCATGCCCCCATTTTCCATGGAGAAGAAACGTGCATCGATAGCCATGACCACATATCGGGGATCGCTCCTTTGGCGTCGACCCGAGGTGTGCAGCTCCGTCACGTTGCTGTCGGTGATGCGGTCGACAGTGTCGTTGGGGCACTCTCCGTGATCGCGGAGGGATTGATACTCATCCGGCCGAGAGGGAAGGAGCTCGATCAGAGCTCGCCCACCCCGAATGATCGCCCCACGTTCTACGTAGAGCCGATACATTCGGAGAGGCACCACCTTGTAGAGCGTCTTAGGAACCACCTTGGAGGTGATAGGAAGACAAACAGGGCTCTCGTAGAGCATGTATTGGTATCGTTCACGA